AAAATAAAATAAATTCTAGGTTTGTTTTGATGCTTTTACTTTGTTATGAATAGAAAAAAACTGCTTGAAATAGTCATAATTAATACCAAATTGCTACTATTGCAAATTGCCAAGTAACCAGTGAATTCAGTGAGAAACGTTCTCACAAAGTGGTTCCCAGATACAATGGGAGAAGTCTGATTCTCTTTATGCCGCCAATTCAGGAATGTAGGCGCTATACGCTGCATGCTGCCAAAATATAAAAAATGGCCGACTGCCTTATTCGGGACAAAATGGTGTATTCAGTGAATGGAGTTGTTCGCTATCATTTTAGTTAGCGAAGCGTTGCCTTTTTTGTATAAATTAAGTTTACATTTCATTTTTATTCAGACATTGATCATCATAATAATCATTACCGTATGTGCTATGGTGTTTGTGTTTGCTTTTTGTTGTTTGTTATTAATAATACTGTTACCTCCTTTCAGTCAGTTAAAGTTGTCTAGTATTTCCCTATCGCACATGCTTAGTACTCAGCCGGTGAATTCACTGGGAGATTCATTACTGTACTCTCTAGACGTATGGGCCTATTTAATAATTAACGTACTCATGGGGACGTGTACTTCTACTGGAATTTATTTTCTTAATGAAGAGGGTTGTGTATAAATTACTTTTACAGTAATAGTCCTTGATTTTAGATCGACGATTCGTGAAATCAACGCCGAAGTTCGCCAGCGTCCTATCCGATCGGAAAACAACAACACGCGACAGCGATTGTTCAGTAGACGTTTGGCCATTGAGCAATAAAGTGAGGCAAGTGAGAAGTTTATTTTTTTTTCTCTTTTGTGGGAATCGCCCACTTTTATTTCAATACTTTTTCATTTAACACAAATACAAGAATTTGTACAAAATGACGCTCGGGTTGTAGAAACCCTTATATACACATATACCATTTTCAAAAGTGCTTACAAATTCTCATTATTATTATTATTATTCATTTTATGTTTTTGATCCTTTCGTTAACACATTATGTCGTAATCATAATAATACAAAATTATTATTCATATTATATCATATATCACTCCATAATTCTTTATGCATATTTGTCTTGTAAATTTCAGGTCTCTTACTGAGCAATATACAATATATACATACATTTTTTTTTGTTCAAAATACGTTTTTTTTTTTTTTTTTTATCTTATCTTATTTTTACTTTTTTGTAGCTTATGGTATTTTTACACATCAATTTATAAAGAAATAAACAAAAACCAAAGCACAACAAAAATTACCTAAAAATCAGATGTAAACATTGCCCAAGGACATTTCTTTCCTAAATTTAGTCTATACATCAATTTACATTTAAATACACAAAAAGTTAAAAATGAAACTAACTCATTTGTCTTCTTATCACAGCTTGCAAGTACGATATTCATCCATTTTACTTTATCAGGCTTCTTTAGGCACAATTGTAACATAATATGGAATTTTTTCCAACATGGATCATTTTCTTTACAGTTTAACAGCATATGTTTTTCATTTTTTCTATTTCGTTACATGCTTCGCAGATATCTGTGTTTGACAGGTTCCATATCTTTTGCCGACTTTTCGTTGGCAAGATTCTGTGTAATAATTTATAATTAAACTGAGCAAACTTTTTAATATGTTTATTTCTATTTGCTAATCATTATCCTTGATGTGCTAAGAGTAGTGACTAGGTTAAACCTATTTACATATTAAGCAATTATAGTTTTGAGTGATACAATCTAAAAAATAGAAGCCAAAGGAGCCATTATGTTCAATATGTTTTATTCAATCCCAAATGGCAGCATGAACGCTGAATTACAAAAGAATACAAAAGGATTACATAATTGAGAACATTAAAATTAAATTGAGATCTATAAAACTTGAAATATGATAACATTCATTAGATCAAACATTAAAATTCCATGTACATAATAAAATACCCAAAAAACACAAGGAAAAACGATAAGATTATGATTTATACAAAATTACACATTATTTCCTGAAAAAAAACTTTAAGCGCGCAGGGTGATTTTTGAAGCAATTAATGGCTTCTAAAGCCTTTTCATCTAGGAAAATTTATTCTCGCGAATCAAAGACGTCGGTTCGTGCGCATGCGCATTCACATTTCTATCGGAGTTTTTGGCTTCGGAATTTAGTTTTCCGAACTGTTTCTACTTTTTGCGAAGCCAAAGAAAAATGCGCAACCAAACAAACCGACGCTTTCGATTCGCGCGAATAAATTCGCCCAGTGGAAAACAGGCATAAGGCTTCTATTTCGTATAGTGACTAATTACTTAGAGCTTTTGCTACAGTATTATCAAAAATACTAGGAACACAAGATAGAGTTTTCCACAGAAAAAAAATGTTCACCGAAACGCATGATGGTAAT